TTCTTTTCTTTTCTTTTCTTTTCTTTTCTTTTCTTTTCTTTTCTTTTCTTTCTTTTTTCTTTTCAAGTAGGCTTCACAGCCTGTGTGGAGCCTGGTTCAACGGGCTTGAACTCATGACCCTGAGATCAAGACCTGAGCTGAAATCTGGAATCAGATGCTTAACCGACTGAACCACCCAGGCACAAGTGTTGTATAGTTTTGCAATAATAACTTCCTCCCAATAGATCTGTTTTTTTCCCTTATGATGATATTGTTATATACTGAGTCTTAAACTATGATCAAGTGGGAGAAAATCCATAGAGCATCCTCAGAGGTACTTTTACACACTGACTGTCATATACCACTCAGGGGGGGAGGGTGGGCGGAGAGATGGGGCACCTGGGTGGCTCGGTTGAGCGTCCGACTTTGGCTCAGGTCATGATCTCACAGTTTGTGGGTTCAAGCCCCATGTCCGGCTCTGTGCTGACAGCTCAGGGCCTGCAGCCTGCTTCAGATTCTGTGTCACCCTCTCTCTGACCCTCCCCCGTTCATGCTCTTTCTCTGTCTCAAAAATAAAAAAGATAAACATTAAAAAAATTTTTTAATAAAAAAAGAGAGAGAGAGATTCCATTTCTGAAATTGCTCTGGCAGAGCCTAGCTTTGTAGAACCACCTTACTTCAGGGTAAGAAAACCCCTAGACAGGATGGATAAAAATTTAAATTTCTCATAACTGAGTACAGGTAGGTAGAGTTTCCACAGAATGATAGAGACTTTCTTTGGCTCTTCCCTTCCCTAAGTCTAGGAAGTTTTGGCAAGTTAGAAAATAGGATAGTAATCACAGCAGTCAGACTAACCTTTTTTCTGTAGACGTAAGTTGGTTTATCACTCCTTTGCATAAAGCTATCCCATTGCTACCCATCACATTTAGGGGGAAAAAAAGCAAACTACTCGGCAAGACCTATCAGGCATTTCCTGAGCCAGTCCCTGACTACTTCCCTCTCTAACCTCCTACCATTCTGCCACCTGCTCAATGGACCAGCCTTTCTGCTTTCCCTCTAACAGGTGAAACTAATTCATACCTCAGGACCTTTGCACTTGCAGTGTTCCTTCCTGAAACAATCTTCTCTGAGATCTTCACATGCCTTATTCTTTCACATCATTTGTGTCACTTCTCAAATGTCACTCACTGAGTTTCTTCCTGACTTCCTAGCTCAGAGATCCCCTTCTATTTTCTTCATAGCACTTATTACTATGTATTTGCACATTCTGTCTATTCCGCTGAAATGTAAGTTTCAGAACAACAGGGAGGGACCAGACACCCGAATAGTTCCTAGTACTCAGTGCACGCTTAATCAATGTAGGTTAGGTGCTTAAAATAAGTGCCATTTCCTTAGAAAAAAATAAGTCTGGTGGTTTGTGCAAATGTCTCTCCCTTTTAGGTCAGTTTCCTACTCCCTAGATTAGGTTCTGACCCCCTAAAATCACATCAACCCCTTATCTCACTTCCCCAACCCTACTGGTTCAGGTCACCCCACAAGTCATTTGGGAAATGGCCAATGCCCCTTTAACGTGGTATGCCTGAATTTTGACATCACAAGAACTGCCTTTCTCCAAGAAGTGACCGTGAGTTAAGCAAGGAAACATAAAGCAAGATGTGATAAATGTAAATGTGGGGTTTTAGGCATGTTTGGATGTTACTGCTTATATAAAAGCTTTTCTTCCTTTAATAATACTTCAATATGGGAACTCTAAACAATATATTAGCCAAAAGAAGAAAATAAAAGTTGATCATGATTCTCTTAATCAGAGAGCCACTGTTAAAATCTTGGTATTGTATATGTATACCTTTGTTTTCTATTTATGCATATACTCTACATCTACCTTTGTAAGCTACTTTATTTTAATCTAACAATATATAATGAGTATTTTTATGCCACTAATTATTTTTCCATAGCTTGATTTTAATTACTTTGTCAACAAACATGTATTGAGCTTAAATGGATTATTGTCCTTGAGCAAAGCAGGTGGGATTCTCTGGGGTCCAGCTTTTTACTGCAGCCTCCTCATGGAGAAATGGCAACATCAGGCCAGTTGTTTTGGAAGGCAAAAGAACACAAAAATCAAGATTTGGAGGAACTAAACATTAATTTTAGTTCTATTAAGAGTTCCAAGATGAGGCTTGACAAAACACAGAAGGAGTCCGTCCAGAATAGGTAACCAAGACTCAAAATACTTCTTGATTAAAATAGAACTCATCTACCAGAATCATGTTAAGATCAAGAGCAAGACAAAAAGGACATTAGAGGGAGAATGAGAAAGGCGGAGGCCGGGAGGGGGGAGAGTAGGAGACCCAACAGAAGTGTGCTCTCCGTAGGAGAGTAAAATCCATTGTCCAGAGCCCCAAACCAGAAGAAAGACTCATTGGAGGTATGATAGGTGAGCAGAACCCAGAGGGCCCAGTGACACAGTAAATAAATAGCTTCAACTTAAGCCACAAAGGGCTTAAAATGGGGAAGCTTGCTGTCAGGCAGGACCCACAAAAGAAGGTTCAGTGCAGATCCGGTGGTAGATGTGGGTACAGCAGGAAAATAATGATGTCTGGGTCTTAGAGAAGGGAGAGGCCTGTGGACTTCAGGAGGCATAGGTAGTAAGTTCCTCAAAGACAGCATTGAATTCTTCAGCCACGTGCCCAGGTTCCACCAGTAGGACTACCAAGAACATAGATGAGAAAAGAGAAAACTTCACTGTTGTTATAGCAGGAGGGTCAGTGTGGAAAGGTTA